TAAAACTGCACATTTTAGAGTGGCCTTTTATTGTGGCCAGCTTAAGGCACACCTGTGCAATAATCATGTTGTCTAATCAGCATCTTGATATGCCTCACCTGTGAGGTGGATGGATTATCTTGGCAAAGGAGAAGTGCTCACTAACACAGATTTAAACAGATTTGTGAACAATATTTGAGAGAAATAGGCCTTTTGTGTACATAGAAAAAGTCTTAGATCTTTGAGTTCAGCTCATGAAAAATGGGGGCAAAAACAAAAGTGTTGCGTTTATAATTTTGTTCAGTGTAGATAGATAGATATATATATATTACTGACCCCAAACCTTTGAAAGAACCTAAGTTCTTTAAGATCATAAGAAACATACATCAGTCATGTGTATCCAAACTTTTGACTGGTGCTGTGAACAAAAGTGGAATCAGATCATGATGCACAGCGGTGTATTATGACTAGAAGAGTACAGCTGGATCACGTAATGTGCAGGTGTGTTGAGGTTTGATGTGGGAATAAAAACTGTGGGTGTATGTTATGATGTACGATCAGATTATCTCGGAGTCATGCGAGTCGTGCAGCGTGACGTGACATTTTCTGATGGTTGTCTTAATAGATTTGATGCCTATAATCATGATTGGTACATAAGATCTGTTCAGAATAAATAACTTAGATGACATAAAATATGCCGCCTTATGAATTCTTCCTCTACAGGAGGCCGAGGGGGTAACCTTCATTGGTCCTGACACACATGCCATCCAGGCCATGGGGGATAAGATCGAGAGCAAACTCATCGCCAAAGCTGCCAAAGTCAACACCATCCCAGGCTTTGATGGGGTGGTCAAGGTCAGATCAACATTTGAGATATATTTATTTATTTATTTATTTTTATTTCTGTTCTCAATCTTTTCCCAAGAATCCATTAATTCTCACATACTTATGCTGTTAATCTTTAAAAGCATTTTAAACACTTTTTCTTTAGGCCTGCATCCAGATAGGTAGTTTATCAAAATTTGTAATAAAATAACAAAAATACTTTCCTAGCTGAGCTACAGTGCATATGTGGTGCAGGTAATGACATATGTTATATAGTATGTACAGTGCATACACTGCCATTCAAATATTTTGGATTGGTAAGATATTTGTTAATGTTTTTGAAAGAAGTCTCTTCTGCTCACCAAGAGTGTATTTATTTGATCAAAAATGCAATAAAAACAGCAATATTGTGAAATATTATTACAAATAAAAACCACTGTTTTCTATGTGAATATATTATAATAATGTGATTTATTCCTGTGATGCAAAGCTGAATTTTCAGCATCATTACTCCAGTCTTCAGTGTCACATGATCCTTCAGAAATCATTCTAATATGCTGATTTGCTGCTCAAGAAACATTTCTTATTATCATCATCAGTGTTGTGCTGCTTCATATTTTGTGGAAAGCCTAATAATTTTTTTTCAGTAGGAAGTTTAAAAGAACAGCGCCTATTTGAAATAGTTTTTTGTAATAATGAAAAGTCTTCACTTTCACATTTGATCTTGCTGAGTAAAAGTATTAATCTCTTTAAAAAAAAAGTTTTGCTGACTACAAAGCTTTGAACGATAATGTATATATAGCTTGTCTATAGAAAAAGCATTTAAGTTGAAATTCATGTGTTCCAGATATTTATTTGTCAGGTATTTAATTCATTTGTCAGTTAATTGTGTCATCAATATGCTGTTATGTTTAGGATCTTGCACAAAAAAGACAAATATTTTAGTATCTATGGCAGTTTAATTGGCATTGATCTTGGGTATGACTGAAGAAAGCTCGGACACATTTTACTAGGTCTTTTCACAGTTGCTCAGTCATCTAAAATGTAGTTGAATATTCTGTGGGGCTGTGTTTACCATGTATAAACAACTCTTGGCATACAGCGTCAGCAGTCTGTGCTGCCCAAGTCCACCGGAACATGACAGTGTGATGCAGTTTGTGGACAAAGGAGCTTTCCTCCTGCTGTCACCAGCCATGTGATCCACGACTAGTCAAAACAGACCCAAAGCATCAACTAGTGGCAGAAATAATCTAATAGACTGTGCAGCTCCTGCCATTTTCTGTTTTTCATGTCAACATTTTCATGTTGCACAGGAGCTGAATCCAAAGTGTTACGGAAAGACATGGTAAAGCAGGGAGGATTATTATTGAAAGTGCAGACTGTGATGTTCATCACAAAACAAATGGTTCTATAGACCTCACTAAGTTGCCTTATATACACTACCATCCCCAAACAGTATTTTTTTAAAAAGAAATTAATACTTTTATTTAGCAAGGATGTTACAACAGAACTCTGTTTTAAATCACTTTTGTTCTTTTGAACTTTCTATTCATCAAATAATCCTGAAAAAAAAAATCACGGTTTCTACAAACATATTAACAGTTTTCAATAATTTATATTAGAATTTTAATTTAATAATAACAAATGTTTGTTGATCAGCAGATTGGAATATTAGAATTATTTCTGAAGGATCATGTGACACTGAAGACTGGAGTAATGGCTGCTGAAAATGAATCTTTGCCCAACAGGAATAAATAATTTTATAGTATATTCACATAGAAAACAGTGTTGAACAATAGTGTGTATGTGTGTGTATGTATCCAGTCTTAAGTGTCAATTTTTCGAAATTGAGATTTATACATCACCTGAAAACTGAATAAATGAGCTTTCCATGATGTATGGTTTGTTAGGATAGGACAATATTTGGCCGAGATACAACTATTTGAAAATCTGGAATCTGAGGGCGCAAAAAGATTAAAATACTGAGAAAATTGCCTTTAAAGTTGTCCAAATGAAGTTCTTAGCAATGCGTATTACTAATCAAAAATCAAGTTTTGATATATTTACGGTAGGAAATTTAGAAAATATCTTCATGGAACATGATCTTTACTTAATATCCTAATGATTTTTAGCATAAAAGAAAAATCAATAATTTTGACCCATACAATGTATTTTTGGCTATTGCTACAAATATACCCCAGCGACTTAAGACCAGGGTCACATATATAGATGTGTGTATGTATGTTTATGTATATGTGTGTGAGTGTGTGTGTGTGTGTGATCGGTTGCAACGCATATAAAAAAGCTCTTAACCACAATAAAGCTACATATCAGTCCTCTAAGATGTCTTTAAACTAAATTCTCTTGTCTCCATTCCTTTTTCTCCCTCCCCCATCCATCTCCTCCTCCTGCCTGCTGTTTAAATGGCCTTTAATGGCCGTTTTGACACTTCCTGAGCTGATAGGGCTCTATAAAGCAAAGATGTGCCGCATGACACTCTGACTGTATGGGCATTACCATCTGTGAAAACCTCCTCAACGACCCTGATAACATCAGCAAACTGATCACAGTCTGACTCTCACACACACGTGAACATCGCTCCTTTAGTCCCTTCTGCTGGATTTCTCACCTTAGCTTAACTTCATTTAATGCTGGCGTAGAACTCTGCTGTTAATGTATTTTGACATCTGGTGAGAAAGAACATTTCAGTGATTGTTTCACTATTTCAATAATTGTTTGTAAACAACTATTTTGTCTCCGTTTTCAATTTGCAGTTGCATAATTGCAACAATTTTTTAAAGCAATTAAAGATGACCTATTGTCACTAAACGTGTTAAAATGACTTCTAACAGCTTGCAGTCTGAAAGGAATCACAGCAGCATTTTTGGCAGGAAAATATTTACAATTTGATTCTTTCAGTGTGCAAAAAATGTATAACATGGTCATTGCCCACTGTTTTAGATTAAATATGGCAGTCTTCCAAGTATTTAATATAATTTATTTATTTATTAATTTCTAATAATAAATTAATAAATTACAAATAATAAATGTATTAATTTCTAATAATAGATTAATAGATTAATTAATTTATTAAAAAAACGTATGTTCCAGAAATGTAACAGTGGGCCTTAATGCTCATTATTTTTTTAATGTTATGTACAACAAAGCACATTAGGTAATTCATAGATTAACTGTTCCAAATGAATTCTTTTGAAGCGTATTGATACTTTTATGCAGTTGCAGGTACTATACAAGTATAAGATTTGAATAAGGGTTTCTTCAAGTCACTTCAGTTAATGGTGTGTCAGGTGTTGATGCATTATTATTTTAATTAAAACAAGTCAATTTCAGTTATTTTCTTTTTGTTATACTGTTAAATGTTGTAGATCATATTTAAATCAAATTTAAATCACTTTTAAAATCATTGTGCATTTTTTTACCCTTACCTTCATGTATTTGTCCTACTTTTGTAATTATAGATATTATTGTTAAACCCTTGTCCCAGAGCCAGACTCATGGATTTTCCTCAATCATAAAATGATTAATTACATTCAAAATCGTAATAGTGGTCTTTTAGAAAATAAACTCCGATCCAAAATATCCAACTCATAGTTGAAGAATCAGTCCAATTAATCGCATCAGTCTTTTGGTTTCATAAGGTTAAAACAATTGAACATAATTATTATGAATATGAGTTGCTAATCGGGTGACTTTTGGTCAAATCTGAACATTTAACATTCAATCACAAAAACTGTCTAGGTAATAAAAACTATTATGCTATGTTGCTCCCCCTGCTGGATAAGATGAGGAACTGAATTGCCTTACGTGCTGCAGGCCACATCTCGGAAACAGATATGCATTTACTAAGCATTTACTAAGCAAGGTGATGTTTATTTATTTTATTTTATTTTTTCAGGATGCGGAAGAGGCTGTGAAAATTGCAGGAGAAATTGGTAAGAATCATTAAAATGGCGACATTATAATATTTTATAATATTTATAATTTATATAATATTATAATATTTTTCATCTATCAAGAATAAAGTAAAGTGATAAATAATGCGAACTCAGAGTTTGTGTCCATCTCTTGAAGGCTACCCTGTTATGATAAAGGCGTCTGCTGGTGGAGGCGGTAAAGGGATGAGGATTGCATGGAATGATGAGGAAACCAGGTGAGACATGAGAAAAGCAGATTCTGGGATGCTTTTAAGCAGATATCAGTACCAGCTGAGACCCTGTTAAGTAAGTTTTCTTTGGAGAGAGTCAGTCTAAGGTTCTTATTCAAGCAGTTCTAAGTTTTATTAGACTAATTGGTTAATGGGGAATGGAAACAAAGTGACCAGAATGTTACATTATTGTTTTTAATTTGTTCGTCCACATATACATGTATAAAACTAAGAGACACACTGTACATACACAAATAAACCCTTTGTTTAGATTCCCTCTCTCTCTCTCTGCTTTCCTCCCTCCTTATCTTCCTGTGTTCTTGAAAATATGAATAAAAACTTCAGTGGAACATGTTGCTGTAAATTGTGTCTTTTATTGGCTAAAGCTGAAGCCTGGCTTTTGTTTAAGCTTTAATTGGATCTTGAGAGGCAAAACAGTCACTTAAGCAATTCGGTGAGACCGAGACGGAGAGAGAGAGTGAGAGTCCTCAGGCAAATAGATGCTTATCTACTAAAGAGGAAGCCTCTTGCCACAAATGTCAAGTTCCCTTACAACTGCCACACATCCAGGCAGTTTAGCCAATTCAAGCAAGATCTGGTAGTTCACAGTCAGTTATTCTCTCATTTCTCTATAACTAGACATGAATGGTAGTTACTTCTAAAGTTAATAATAAAAAAACCTTATAAATAACTATAAACAGATGTTAATAACAAACGTGGTTTGAATCAAATATGAATAAGAACATGCAATTTTTTTTTTTTTAAGATTAGGAATTATAAATGTTGATTATTATTATAAAGCGATGAAGTCTTACTAAGTTTTGATATTTTGTTTCAGGGAAGGCTTTCGTTTTTCTTCCCAGGAGGCAGCATCTAGTTTTGGAGATGACCGTCTGCTTATTGAGAAGTTCATAGATAACCCCAGACATATTGAGATTCAGGTATTTACTGGATAATTGCCACCTTGTGTATATACGAACTTTTATGAATGCTTTAATAATATTAGAATAGTAGTGTAGTCATATATTTAAAGACTCAAAAATATTAAATAAATCCAAATGATATTTTAGTTCCTTCAAAATATTATGCGTAGATTCCAACTAGATTACACTCTGGATATTCTTTCAGCCAGGTTAATGAGATATCCACCGTAGATGCTTTTTTCAGTAGTCTTGAAAGAATTTGAAAAGTTTGGGGTAAGAAAGATTTTTTTAAATGTTTTTTTTTCTCTTTTGCTCACCAAGGCTGCATTTATTTAATAAAAAATACAGTAAAACTGCAATATTGTGAAATATTGTTACAATTTAAAATAACGGTAACACTTTACAATATGGTTCATTAGTTAACATTAGTTAATTACTATAGTTAACGTGAACTAAGTATGAACAATACTTCTACAGCATTTATTAATCTTAGCTAATGTTAATTTCAACATTTACTAATGCATTTTTAAAATCAAAAGTTGTGCTTGTTAACATTAGTTAATGCATGCGAATTAACATGAACTAACAATGAACAACTGTATTTTCATTAACTAACATTAACAAAGATTAATAAATACTGTAATAAATGTATTGTTCATTGTTTGTTCATGTTAGTTAATACATTAACATTAACTAATTGAACCTTATTGTAAAGTGTTACCAAAATAACTGTTACTAACCCCAAACGTTTGAGTGGTAGTGTATCTGCTGGACACTCGTAGTTAAAAATAGCCTCAGCCTGGCTCATGAATAGTAATTAGATGAAACCAGTTTGACCACCCATAGTTGTAACCGATTGGCTGAAAAGCAGTTAAGTGGGCACTAGCTGCATTGAGACCAATTCATTCAGTTTAAATTAAAATGTGTTCACTAAAACAAAGCAGCTAAAATATAATGTCCAAAATATAGAATAGAATAGAATTTATAACTGTGGTAACACTTTAGTATAGGGACCAATTCTTACTATTAACTAGTTGCTTATTCGCATGTATATTACTAGCATGTTGGCTGTTTATTAGTACTTATAAAGCACATATTCTGCATGACCATATTCTACAGCACATCCTTAATCCAACCTGTGAGAGGTAGACTAGTGTGGGTGCTGGTGGAGAACTGCGTCCTGTTAATACTGTTAAAGGGATCGTTAAAGGGAAATACTAAGTCATCAAAGTAATACCTCTTAAAGTCACAAGGGGGCGCTAATGGCTCTATATATATAGCCGGCCTTTTCTACAGCCGCCCCCACATTTGCTGTGTAAATGTGTAATTTAGATAAGGCACTAAGGTAAGGGATCATGTAAGTAAGGGGTAGTACTAAAGGGTAATCAATCTGGTAAAGCTGGGAGGCTGATGAGCCGGGTGACGGGACGAAGATACGTCTTATTCTTGACTTCCACTTCTGCAGTCCGGGCTCGGCTGACTGTGTCTCCATCTCCGTTTGCTCAGCAACTCTGATTCGGGGTATACTACTTGTGGCAAGGATGAGTCAGGCCGCCCCATGAGCAGCGTGTTGGGTGTGACTGGGTCAGGGTCCGCTATGTCTGAGGACGTATATCCGAGTGGCTTCGAATTGAGAATGCCTTCAATCTCAACAAGAACAGTACGCAGTACTTCCTCTGTCACAATTTGATCCCCTATAGTAGAACAGAGAGCTGATTTCAGCGATCTTATTTCTCTTTCCCAACAGCCTTCGAAGTGTGAAGCACCTGGGGGGTTGAACTTAAAACTAATCTGGTGGCTGGCTAATTGCTCATGGAGGGAAGGATGTAGCACAGCAAAATCTTCTTGTAGTGCTCTCTCGCCTCCTCTGAAGTTTGTACCTTGGTCAGAGATTATCTCAAATGGCTTGCCTCTGCGGGAGATGAATCTTCGGAGGGCCATTAAGAACGAATCTGTGTCCATCTGATAGAGCAGGTCCAGGTATACTGCTCTTGTTGTCAGACACTTAAATATGATAACCCATCGTTTCTCATGTCTACGCCCAATCTTGATGAGGTAAGGGCCAAAACAATCCACTCCAGTGGAGTAGAAGGCTGGTTGAAGTAAGCGCAGTCTTGAAGGAGTTAAGTCGGCCATCCTGGGAATGCTGGGTTGGCCTCTCCACTGTTTACAGCCTAAGCACGTTCTCTGGTGATGCCGAATAGCTTCTCGGCCTCTCAATATCCAGTACTTACGACGTACTTCAGCAAACACCCTCTCTGCTCCTGGATGGTGTAGAATTTCATCGAAGTCCTGGATGATGAGTCTGCTTAGGGGATGCTTAGGGTCGAGAACTATAGGGTGAATGGCGGATTCGTCTAGCTGCTCTGTTCGTCTGAGACGACCACCAACTCTGATGAGGTGGGTAGTGCTGTCATACTCTGGGGCAAGGCACAAGAGACGACTGCTCATCGGTAGAGGTTTACCTGACTTAAGATGAGCCATCTCGACTGGGAAACTATGGATTTGTGCTTGATGAAGGAGGGCTAGTTCGGCTTCTCTATAATGCTCAGCTGTTAGCACTTCCGTAGGGGTAGCCGCCCCGTGCAAGGCTCTTGCTTTAACTGCTAGTAGTTCCTTATAAGATCCAAATTGATTGCAATCAGGCAAGGCTGGGTTGGTGACAGGAACTGTAAGTCCACAGAATGTGAACTGTTTCAGCTCTGCATCTTCAGTAGGTAGCTGTAGGAGAGGACTCTGAGGCCACTGATCTGCGGGTAGGAGAAGGAATGATGGGCCTTGACTCCATCTGCTTGCCTTGGCTAACTCGGCCAAGGTCTTGCCCCTAGTGATGTCATCAGCAGGATTAGACTTTGAATCAACATAACGCCAATCCTTGGAGTCTGTTAACTCCTGTATCTCCGCTATTCTTGTTCCGACGAAGACTTTAAATCGACACGAGTCAGCTTGAATCCATGCCAACGTTACTTGACTTGGCTTCAGATGGGATAGAGTCCAGTACTTGAGGGACATTGCTGGCCCACTGTCTCGGATCAAATCCTCCTGTGGCTAGGAGGTCTCGCAAATTAGATGCCCGTGCCCTGGCTTCTTCTTGGGAATGGAAACTCTGGAGGAAGTTGTCCACATAGAAGTACTTCTCTTTACTTTCTCGGACATCTTCGCCTGGCTGACTATGGTCGATGACATGCTTTTGGAGGGCAAAAGTTGCGGATATGTATGCTCAGCCAATCCCAATGTCTCAGCTGTAAAGGCTTGACGAATCCTGAATGAAGTCTTGGGTTGGGATGCTGGCGACACTGTGAAGGTTATTGAAGCACCATGCAGGATGTGAAGGTCTTGTCTGACTGTACGTAGAACAAGCTCTTCGGGTCGACCAGTCAATCCGAGCTGCTGGGCCGCTGAATGAAGGAGGATGGTGCGTTCTGACCCGTCGTCCAAGAGGGCGTACGTCTCTAAGCATTGACTGCCATTTCTCAGGAGTACTTTACAGATCTTTAGTAAGACACGTCGACTTGTCGGTGGGCCGATCTAGATACAGTGTCTCTGTGGTCGTGTTCACCAAGCAATTCTATGAAGGTCCGACCTTAGGTGTCTCAGGCATCTTCACAAAGGATCTATCATTAACCTCGTGGAGGATGTACAGATGACGGCGATTACAACTCTTGCGGGGTGTCTTGAGGTTACACTGTGCAGCTTGATGGGCTCTTCCACAACGCCAACATCTCTTGTGTGATTGTATCCAATGCACTTTCTGATCTCTGTTAAGTCTCTGGAAATTGGCACACCCATTCAAGTAGTGGTCTTGAGCATCACAATATGGGCAGAACATCTTCCTGTCTCTGGGCTTAGGGTCGGAAGCTTCACCTGGCTTGTCACTGCTGTCTTTCTCTGTACCGAGGAAGATACTTGTGGCCTGCGTTGGCTGTCTCGTGTCTCTCTGGTGTCCCCTCTTGTGTGTGGGCATTGGCTTACTCATTGGAGGATAGAACCTGGTACTATCTTCTTGAACTTGCAGCTCAAACTCTAACCACACTGAGAGATCGAGCATGGTTGGGATGGGAACTTGTTGGGGATGGACAGACCGTCTAAAACTAGTCTGCAGATCATGTGGAAGCTTACACAACAGTCTTGATACATGGGAACCGCACGCTAACTCCATGTAGCCTTTATTCCCCAGCTGCTGAAGCATACTAACTAGAGAGCGAACTTTCAGTGCAAACATTCGGAAGGCTCTCACATCCCCTTGGCTGATGTTCGGACCGTCCATAAGCTCAGCTATTCTCTGAAGGGCCAACTGGTGAGGCTGTCCATACTGTTGGTTAAGTGCCTCCATAGTATCTGAGAAGGGGTATAATGAGTTGCAATAGGAAAGCACCATGCAGGATGTGAAGGTCTTGTCTGACTGTACGTAGAACAAGCTCTTCGGGTCGACCAGTCAATCCGAGCTGCTGGGCCGCTGAATGAAGGAGGATGGTGCGTTCTGACCCGTCGTCCAAGAGGGCGTACGTCTCTAAGCATTGACTGCCATTTCTCAGGAGATCTAGATACAGTGTCTGTGGTCGTGTTCACCAAGCAATTCTCTGAAGGTCCGACCTTAGGTGTCTCAGGCATCTTCACAAAGGATCTATCATTGACCTCGTGGAGGTTGTACAGATGACGGCGATTACAACTCTTGCAGGGTGTCTTGAGGTTACACTGTGCAGCTTGATGGGCTCTTCCACAACGCCAACATCTCTTGTGTGATTGTATCCAATGCACTTTCTGATCTCTGTTAAGTCTCTGGAAATTGGCACACCCATTCAAGTAGTGGTCTTGAGCATCACAATATGGGCAGAACATCTTCCTGTCTCTGGGCTTAGGGTCGGAAGCTTCACCTGGCTTGTCACTGCTGTCTTTCTCTGTACCGAGGAAGATACTTGTGGCCTGCGTTGGCTGTCTCGTGTCTCTCTGGTGTCCCCTCTTGTGTGTGGGCATTGGCTTACTCAATGGAGGATAGAACCTGGTACTATCTTCTTGAACTTGCAGCTCAAACTCTAACCACACTGAGAGATCGAGCATGGTTGGGATGGGAACTTGTTGGGGATGGACAGACCATCTAAAACTAGTCTGCAGATCATGTGGAAGCTTACACAACAGTCTTGATACATGGGAACCGCACGCTAACTCCATGTAGCCTTTATTCCCCAGCTGCTGAAGCATACTAACTAGAGAGCGAACTTTCAGTGCAAACATTCGGAAGGCTCTCACATCCCCTTGGCTGATGTTCGGACCGTCCATAAGCTCAGCTATTCTCTGAAGGGCCAACTGGTGAGGCTGTCCATACTGTTGGTTAAGTGCCTCCATAGTATCTGAGAAGGGGTATAATGAGTTGCAATAGGAGTCTGCAATCAACAGGGCTTCCTCCAACTTCAGGTGATCGACGAGAATCTGGTACTTAAATCTCTCTGTAGCGTCTGCTGGCAGAATGTTCTCCAAAGCGATGCGCAGACGGGAGAACTCTCTCGTATCTGGCTTCACAAAGTTCGGGATGATTGGAGCTGGTCCCCTATATGTACTCTTGACTGGGAGGAACACGTAACTGGGTCGTGCTGTAGCCACTTCTATGATCATCAACTCTGTCATAAGATCTATGGGGGAAGGACTGGTGCTGTGAGGGTTGGGCATGAGTTGGCGGTGATGTCATCTCCAGCTGCCGAAGCCTCTGTTCTAATTCATGCAGGCGATCTTGTCTGAATGACTCTACTGCACTGACACTCGGTCTCTGGGGTAGCTTGGATCTAGGCAGAGGGATGGGCCTGGCATCTGTTGTGATAGGCAGAGTATTTCAAAATAATGTTCTTTTTAGCAGCATCATATGACCCCTTTAAACTGAACAACTTACTAACTATTAATGAGCAGTAATTAGGAGTTTACTGAGGCAAAAGTTGTCGTTAATAGTGAGAACTGGACCTTAAAATAAAGTGTGACCATAAATGTTTACAGTTTAAGCTAACTTTCACCCAGACATTTACATTTATGAATTTTCGCTTTTATCCAAAGCATTTTCCATATTCATTTTTATCAGTTATAACTAGTTATGATTAATTATTCATATTTCCCCATGAGCTGATTCGTTACACCTTGCTTTCCCTGGGAATCAAACCAATGACCTTGGCATTGCTAGTGCCATGCTCTAATGTTTGAGCTCCAGGAAGGCCCACAAAATCATTCTGTTTATCAAATTAATGCTACACTTGGATTACCTTCTAGGTTGTAGGAGGTTATTTTTAATTGGTGTAGTGGTTAAGGCTCAGGGCTAGTAACTAGCAGGTTGTTGGCTCTATCCTCAGAGTCTTGACTTGTCATTGTGCCGTTAAGTAAACAGCTTAACCTCAGGTTGCACATTCTGCTCAACTAATTGTAAATAAAGCTTCTAGATTCAGTAACATTACTGGAGCTCAAACAATAAAACAAGGCACTAGCAACGTTAAGGTCATGTGTTTAATTCCCAGAGAATGCATAAATGGATAATGTATACCTTGATTGCAAAGTACGTCACTTTGGATAAATGCTTGTGAATGTTACAAACCTGTAAATTTGATTAAATTCTAGATTATAAAGCTAGATGCATGACAAATACATCATTTACTCTGTAGTTGTTTTTGGAAGAGTCTGGATTTTGAACCATCATATTTAAGTTCTTTCCCATTTTCCAGTGTGACTCTTTTACCGTATCTGCATCTTTCTCTACAGCAGAGATTATGTTGTCTACAGTGATGTGGGATTTTTTTGAGTGGGAACATTTCAGATATTTCTGCTAATGGTTTCTGTTGTTGTTTGCAGGTGTTGGCGGACAAACACGGCAATGCTCTGTGGTTGAATGAGAGAGAGTGCTCCATTCAGAGAAGAAACCAGAAAGTGGTGGAGGAGGCACCCAGGTTTGAGCAGTTTTTTTTTTAACTGAAGTCAACCTGAGCGTTGTTTTGATGCACAAAACAATTTTGATGTTTTGATGTCATTGTGGAAAAACGGGGAAAAATATGTCTGGTTAGCACCTTTCTGGACCCAGACACCCGGAGAGCGATGGGAGAGCAGGCCGTATCGCTGGCGAAAGCAGTGAAATACTCCTCAGCTGGCACTGTGGAGTTTCTTGTTGACACCAAGAAGAACTTCTACTTCTTGGAGATGAACACACGTCTACAGGTTTGTATGTGCATGATTATGTTTGAAACACACCCTTTTTGCTTTGTTGAAATATATGTTTTTGAAATGAGGAAAACCACAAGCAATTAATTATATTATAGCCTATTTGGGTGGCTTTTGTATATTGTGTTAAAGTAAAGGCTGAGAACCACCGCTATTGATGAACCGTAATATCTATTTTTTATTTATGATTATGGAATAATTAAGTGCTTGTGAAAGAGAGAGAGAGAGGGACCTTCGGGGCATAGAGGAGAAATAATAATGTACAGTATGTGGAAAATAATGTGTTTTTTTTTAACCTTAAACCGCATAAACACATTTCATTATCATATGAGCATCATCATATGACCCCTTTAACATATTTAACACTTTTGTATTATAGCCTTACATTTGCTGTGCAATTTGTCTGAGCCGCTCATGAACAACAAGGCAGACAGCCTTCATGAGAACTGTAAACTGCATTGTCTGCTCTGACCATTAGAAAAGTGTACTTTTACACTTGCCTTCAGAGAGCTTTAATCCATGCAATCATACACTTGCATTTCAGGTAGAATTAAATTAAATATGAAGGTCAATTATATATTAAGTTCAAGTGCATTAACAACTCTGACATTGAAAGAACACATAAAACCTGTCAAAATGAGAAAAAAAGTTTAATGTAATAAACATTACACATTTAAATGAAACTTTCTGTCTGTTCTGTCCCCTTATTTTGTCAGCTATAAGATCCAGAAACTCTTTGTAGAAAGGCTTCCATAGTTAAGAATTGTGCTCATGCTGTCATTAAATATCAAGGCCCTGTTGTAATTATGACAAAACTGCTTGATCAGTCTTTTTTTTTATCGACAGAAACTGGGAGTACGGATCAGGGATAAAACCATAAAGTTTTGTTATTTGAAATAAAATGAATGTTGACTGAAATAAAGTATAAAAACTTTTCAGTCAGCTGGTTTCCAAGGCAAATTTTCTCGTTTTAATTTAGTTTACCTTTATGTACTAATATTGACAAAACACAAAAAATTACTAAAACCTTACTTTCAAATTAAAATGAAAACAAAAAATAAAAAATGCTTCAAAATATTAATAAGAATAACGATAGTATATCAATGATAAAAATAACACTTTTGCAGATATATAGAATAATAATTAAAGTTTAAAGATCTGCATAAAAACAAAAAATGATCATCATTTAGATTTTTGTGTGTTTTTTTAATGTTTAAATAAGAGTTAGATTATAGTAATAATAAAAAACAATAATTTTATTTAATTATATACAGTGGGTACGGAAAGTATTCAGATATATATATAAATACATTTAACTGATCCCGCGGCCTCCTTGAAAAGGAGTGGGCCCTGGTTGGGAGCTACTGGTTTAATGTGTGATGACATGATCTGCATTTAAAGAATACATTTAAAGAACGCATGCAGACCTAACCTAGTTAATACAACAGGAATGATCACGATTAGAAGATCTCAAATGTATTACGTGACACATAAAAAAGAACACAACCCAGGATGACTGTTTGGAGAGATGACTTGAAGTCATGTCCGTGCATGAGCACCACGGCTGAAAGTGTCCGAGCACATGCACTATCTAGTAAGTTAGTATGTCGATCTTCATCATCATTTCACTTGCCACCTCACTAGAACCCAGAGCCACAGAGGACATCAAAGTGTCTATAAAGCTCATTAGTGTGGACCTCCAAGGAAAACACGCAGCATGAGGAAGGGTAGCATTTGCAGGAAAAGGGTTTAATATTTCCGCTCGGGGTTAATGACTAGTTGTTAGCGGTGCTGTCTGGTTAACGAGAGTCTCTTAAACAACTATGTAGTGTTTGAGTGTGTTTGGTGGGAGGTAATTTGTTGCCTTTTAATTCTGATGATAGATTCCAATTTTTGCTTATTTCAGTAAAATGAGATTGACACTGCGTTTACAGTTACGTTTGTAGACAGTTGTTCATGTCATAGGATGTTAGTGAGTATGTCTTTCTCTCAGGTGGAGCATCCTATCACTGAGTGCATCACAGGACTGGATCTGGTGCAGCAGATGATCCTCATCGCAAAGGGCTACAAACTCCAGCAAAAACAGTCTGACATACCTATAAATGGCTGGGCCATCGAGAGCAGAGTCTATGCTGAGGTAAACCAACAAACAATCAATACAGTGACTAAAGTTCTTAGTATTTCTCAGACCAGTGATGGGCCAATATTTCAAAATATTTTTTACAATATGTTTTTCAAATATCTTGTCAATTGGGTTATTGTACAAAATGTAATTTTAGCAATTTTGCACATTGTTCATTTGTGATTTATTTAATTTAATTTATTTTTTTTAAATAATATATATATACTGTGTGTATGTATATATATATATATAGAGAGAGAGAGAGAGAGAGAGAGAGAGAAATGCAAATAATTGTATAATTTTTTCTATATATATATTTAAATATACCCTCCCATTCAAAAGTTTGGGGTCAGTAAGATATTAATGCTTTTATTTAGCAAAAATTTATTAAATTGATCAAAAAAGACAGAAAAGACATTTAAAAAATGTTACAAAAGATTTCTATTTCAAATAAATGGTGTTTTTAACTCTCTATCATCAAATATATGAATAAAAAATGATTAAATGTTTCAAAAAATAAAATGTATCACAGTTTCCACAAAAATATGAAGCAGCACAACTGTTTTCAACATTGATAAAAAGAAATGTTTCTTGAGCAGCAAATCATAAAATGATTTCTGAAGGATCATTTGACACTGACTGGAGTAATGGCTGCTGAAAATTCAGCTTTGCATCACAGGAATAAATTAACAGTTATTTTTAATTGTAATAGTATTTCACAATATTACTGGTTTTTTTTCTGTGCTTTTGATCAACCAGACGCAGCCTTTGTGAGAATAAAATCTTACCGATCCCAAACGCTGGAACAGTAGTGTACACAAAGTCCTGGGCAAAAAAAAATGATATGCACATGATATGCTTCACAAAATTTGTTTTTAGACCGTTATTTACATTTTTGTGCTAGTGCAAAATATAAGTTTTACTACAGCAGGAATATATACTACAATGGGATGTTGGTATGGAGGTATGACGAGATCTGATCTCGCTATCATTGAGTCTGTGATTACATCTGATGAATTCTGTGAAGAACATACCCAGGTGACATTTCAGCCCAGAATAAATAAGGAAAAAAATACATTGTTTCACATAAGTGGTCTTAAAATGGAATTCATTGACTTCATGTGTCATTATTTTAATGATCATTAAGGTTCAGACTTTTTTTTTGTCTGTTTTTGGGGTGAAATCGGATGATCTCATGATCTGGACATGTTATTGACAGATTTGGCCACATATTTGTTTTTTATCTTGAGTAGGTCCTGTCCTATTAAATGATTTGTCTTCATGAAGATGGATTATCCCGCCATAAAATGACATTGAATGCTTTAATGTTCAGCTTTGAGATGATTTTCCTTTGCATTTTGGTTTAAGTGGGATGCACAGCATTTTCACTCCTTCAAGAGATCTGCTTAATCCTGGACTCATCTTAATCTGTGTCTAACAACCGGTCTTTTGTGTGCTCAGGATTATTATAGTCAGACATTTAATAAGCCTGAATAACACCTAATCAGATGATGAGAATATTGAATTCATCTATGTTCAGTGAACTGGTTCCAGCCCAGTGTGGGTCTTGTGTCTCATCTCATGATGTTAAAATGTGCCCGCATGACCCAGTCTGGATGGCAGAAGAGTTTATGCCCACCAAAGAGGAGAGAAACCACATAGGCCATCTTAACTCGGCTTAACTGAGCCACAGTTTGAATCGAGTTAAGACAAACTTTAAGGACAGACACTTGACCTCTTGTTTCCTGTGTTTTATTTGAGAACTAATATTTCCTCTCTTTATCTCTCTCTTTTTCAGGATCCGTACAAATCATTTGGTCTCCCATCCATCGGCCGGCTGTCACAGTACCAGGAGCCACTCGACCTGCCCAATGTTAGTACACAGATCTGTTTAGCCCGTTTGTTTTTTCCTGTTCTCTTGTGCGTGTGTAGTAGAGACTGGGAACAGCTTGAATCACAAACTAAGAAATGGTTATAAAAACTGAAACAGAAGTGAAACAAGTAGTAGGAAAGAGGAGAAATAAAAAGCGATACTTATTATAAACTTATACATTTTAACATTATAAACTATAATTGGTATGATTTGAGGTATATTTGTTTCCTTTTAATCCTTTGAATGTAAATCGTATTTATTTGATCTCTGTTTGTTTTAAAAGTTAACGTGAGTGACAGATATTTACAGTGTAACTGGTAACTAGCATACAAGGGTCTAGGCTGCAAGATTGGGGCTAATTGTAGCACTGTATTCTAGTTTATTTTGCCAAAAACGAACATTTGTCCTAAATCAAGCCATATAAAGTTAAAACTATAATATCATTAAACAAAGTTAATATATTATTACTTTAATTTTTGCTTTACTTTCTATTTGAGTTATAGTAGACAACATTTTATTGGGGCAATATTGTAACATTCTGATTTCTATATAATAAGGCCTTTTAATTGTAATAATAATAATAACAGTTTATATATATATATTAGTATATATATATTAGTTCATATATATATATATATATATATATATATGTATATGTATGTGTGTGTGTGTGTGATTCAAAATATGACAGATTATTATGAAGTTGTCTCTGAGTTAAGGACAAATGGAAAAAAAAATGCCTCCAGTCCTCTTTACTGTACATAATTAAGCGATTTAGTATGTTTGAGTGAGATTAAATGTGTTTGTGTGTCAGATTCACACATCGATCAATACAGGAAGAACAGGAAGACACGTCCTCTTCAGTGAAAGATCACTGGTTTCCGGGAGCTGCTCAGGACAGGATGAGCAAAATGTTTTGATTTCAGAAACACACACGCACAGACATACACGGATGAGGTTTACATTTCTAAAGAAAGCAAACATCACTGAGGATATTTACAAATGATTCTTTCATTTATAGGCAGGGCCAAAAGAGAACATTGTGTGATGTGTTTGGTGGTTATTAATAGTTTTGTGTTCCGGTGATTTTTGCCTTAAAGATTTGTTTTGAAAAATCACATGAAATGCAGGGCACGCTTTTTGTGAAGTAGGCCATGTGAAAAAAAAAAGACATACTGCAAAAGCTCTTTATGCAGGCCAGTTCATGCATTAAAGGGGTCATATGATGCTAATAAAAATAACATTATTTTGTGTATTTGGTGTAATGAAATGTGTTTATGCGGTTTAAGGTTAAAAAAACACATTATTTTCCACATACTGTACATTATTGTTTCTCCTCTATGCCCCGCCTTTCTGAAACGCATCGATTTTTACAAAGCTCATCGGTCTGAAAAAGCAAGGTGTGCTGTGATTGGCCGAATACCTCAAGCGTGTGATGGAAATGTTAACGCCCCTTACCAACACCAAGAGCTTGTAACACTCCAAAGAGAAAGGAAAATTTGAAATCGCATCATATGACCCCTTTAAGTTTTTGGGAATTCGATTTTTGATGATAATTGTTATTTTGCTTTTCTTTCGAAGGTTCGAGTGGACAGTGGAATTCAAGAAGGAAGTGACATTAGTATCTACTATGATCCCATGATTTCTAAGGTAATAGAATAGTAATCCAAGACAATCTTAACAGTCTCATTTCATTTAAACTGTCAGACTAGTCCACTGATTTATTATTGTTGACGTCGACTAGCTGGTCACATACGGTAAAACACGAGAAGAAGCCCTGAAGAAAATGGAAGAAGCGCTTGATAATTATGTTATCAGAGGTAAATTGCATAAATAAGTAGGCAGAAACCTTTAAATGTCAAAATAGTTCAAATGCACAACATTTCTTGAATTTCCAGTTTTCTCATTCGCACAGGTGTGACCCATAACATTCCTCTACTGAGAGAGATCATCGTCCACCCTCGGTTTGTGTCTGGTGATATCAGCACTAAGTTTCTCCCGGAGGTGTATCCTGATGGGTTCAAAGGTCACATGTTAACAGCAGGAGAAAGACGGGAGCTGCTGGCTACGGCTGCGGCTCTTTATGTAGCAGCACAGCTCCGATCTCAGAAGTTCCTGGGAGATCTGAGGTGAGAGACAGATGGGGCATCTGGATTACACACACTGATAAACTACGGACACTCTTGTCATTCAGTTAAACGGTAGTTCACATCACCATTTCCAAGTTCTCTATGACCATTATTAAAGGAATAGTTCACCCAAAAATGAAAATTTGCTGAACATTTACTCACCGTCAGGCCATCAAAGATGTAGATGAGTTTATTTGTTCATGGGAACAGATAATAAAGCGTAATTCTTCCTCTTCTGTTACTGAAAGACCCTCACAGAGCGGCAGCTCTCACACTTTCCCTAAGACGTCCCTCACTAACTGTGTGTTTAGACACCTGTGGCCCTTCAGTCAGGGATAAAAGGAGCCTCGGGGGTTCAGGGGCCTCACCTGATCTCTGTGGACCCCTCTCTCTCTTTCTCTTACAGCTGAGGGCTGGATGTGTGTTTCTCTCCCAGAACTGCACATCAAACTGGACCCCCTGCTCCTGAGAGGGCCCTGGAGGTTCCAGTGTCCCAGCCTGCTTTGGGAATGTAACTGATTATTCAGAACTGTTGTTTAGACAAGTGTTTGAGGGCTGAGGGTAATCAGTTTGACCAAAGACTAACATGAAACCCCCCACCTCCCCTAACAGGCATCAGGTGGTTTTGGGTGCAGAAACTACTGACTGACCTTACATGAGTTCAGAAACTTACATTTGATTTCTTTGTCTCGCTGTTTCTTTCATACAGATCAGCTCAGGCTTTTTCCTCTCTCACACACATAGTAACTCAATTATAACACAGACTTTTGTTGTCCTCCGTCTAACTCCTACCGTGTGTGTGTTTGTTGGTTTAGGTGGAGATAGATGGAGAGAAGGTTGAAGTGTCTGGAGAATGGAACTTGGCCTCAGCATTGCTGCCCATCACCATCAACGGCAAACACCGGAATCTCCAGGTTTACAAACACACATATGCATATGTAGGGAATAATTGAAAAGTTATGATGAATTATTGATAAGTAATGCACCAGAGGTGATGTATTTACAACCGCGGTGTAAATATTATTTTTGCAACTGTCCAATCAATCCAGCTGTCCAGAGGCCACATAAGCCCAGGGTGGTTCTGGTCCACCCAGATTGCTGACCGGTCCACTCAATCAATCAGAGCTGCCAGAATATACTAACGGTGTGGAAATAAAACCGCAAAATAACCACATCTGTTGTGTATATATAGTTTGTAAAGTGTATTTTTTACAAATACATATATACAGGTTTTTTTTTTTTTTGCTGATCTGCTCTCGAGATTTGCGACTGCTGTTTTTAATGAACGCAGTGTGTGGAATCATTATCGGGTTATTATAAAGATTGCTGTTAAATGTCAAATTTTTATTACTTTACTGCCAAGAGAATGGAGGTGAACAACCACAGTGTTGAGCTTGCTCGCATGTAGCATCTCTCAGTTACTGTAGTGACTCGATTAATCCCAAATGCTCCTTCTTCTGTCATATGTAGCTTTAGAAAGTTTGATTGATTCTAGTGAATGGTTTTGTTCTAAACAGACTTCTAAACTAAGAAAAGTCTGATTCATTCTACTGAATTAATTTGTCCTACACAGGCTCGTTTATCTTTGGAAAGCCTAATTTATTCTGTTGAATTGCTGTGTTCAAATGGTTCTTGTAAATGTCCAAAAAGATTGAGCATTCCGAGTCCCTACATGGGATTTCATGTCTGTTTTTTATATCATTTTGTCTTTAACTATGAAGTTATAAAAATTAGGTAGTATTTTTAAATTCGTTTTTTCCCCACGCATTTATATTTAGTATAAATGTATCCTTTTTTTAGTTTGATGTTGTAACCTTGTTCATTCACTAGATAAGCCCATAATATTATTGGATAGAGGCACAGAACAGAGGACCTCACTATTGCACAAACATCTGTCAACTTGGAGATTACTGGCCTCGCCACTGATCCAGAGTCAGTTATTCAGCTTATTACACAGCTCTTTGGAGTTTTTGATTCTGATTGATCAACTGCATTGTGATTTTTTTTTTCGCTATAAATTGACTAGCGTCCCAGACAAAATCAATGTCAAGTATTTTTTTTAATAAAATTTAAAATTATTCATTTTATGTAAAATGAACCCCTTCAAGGAAATGACTTTTTTTTTAAATTTTTTTTTTTTTTTTTACAGCATTTTTAAATGTAATATTAATAATGTATAAACAATTATTTTATTTTTGATTAACAGTGTAGTAACTTTATTATAATAATGCATCATGATGAGTGTGTTTATTTGTATTTTACAACTGCATCAAACATACTCATCCAAACAGAATTTAGAGTTGGAACTATTTGTATATCTATCCCTTATATACTAGTTACATTTATCCCTTACTTATACTACGGTTACCTATGTGTTCTTTGCCCCTAAAAATCTGTTGTGTGTAGAACTATTTTCTTATTGCACCTATATGCAGCTGTAATGAGGTCAGCAAACCAGCTGTGTATTTTAATAAAATGAATCGATATACTAGAAACATGTTGGCCAGTCAGAACGAACAATTCACCATAGCTGTGATATAAGCACAACCACGGTGTACGATAACACACATTATGTTTTACTGTTTTGTCTCTAAATGCAGTGTCTGTTGCGGACAGCAGCTGGAGAAATCACCCTGCAGTATCTGGGCACTTCAGTAAGTCTTTAAACAAGCACCTCATAGTGGCATGAACTATATGTCAGTGGTTCTCAACTGGTTTTACTTCAAAACCCAGATTATGGAGATGGTGGCCTAGCACAGTAGCAAAATGTATCATATTAAAGTTAATCAAAATGTTCTTCAATTATAGCATTGGAATGTTTTATTTAGCTTATGTATTATTTATTAAGCATAATTGTCCACAGCACAAATGTTCATCCTCGCTCTAAATTAACTCGCCTTTAATTTCAGTCATGGTCATATTTTCTTTTATCTCGCATACTTTTTGTTCATGTTTTTTTCAGTGTATAACGGATGAGGGTCCTTTTTAAGGATGAGCATGCCAAACCCATGCCAAAATACTGCAGAGTTTGGCTGAACAAACAACCTTGGATGACAAAAAACTATTTGGGCAATAATGAAAAAAAAAAAAAAACGTGACGTGACATGTGGCCAAGTATGGTGACCCGTACTTGGAATTAGTGCTCTGCATTTAACCCATCCAAAGTGCACACACACAGCAGTGAACACACACACACCGTGAACACACACCCGGAGCAGTGGGCAGCCATTTTTGCTGCGGCGCCCGGGGAGCAGTTGGGGGTTCGGTGCCTTGCTCAAGGGCACCTCAGTCGTGGTATTGAAGGTGGGAGAGAGCGCTGTACATTCACTCCCCCCACCTACAATCCCTGCCGGTACTAGACTCGAACCTTTACGAGTCCAACTCTCTAACCATTAGGCCACGACTTCCCCCAAAGGAACAAAGTACTCTTCTTTTAAAATTAATAAGCATTTTTTTATTTATTTTTTACCCAAGCCATTCATGATTATACGATTTTATTTGTATTATTATAGTTTTTTCATGTTGTCCAAGACCCTGTCAGAAACTTTTTTTTTGTCTGTGACCCTTCAGTTGAGAACCATTGCTAATATGAATGTTTTCAAAGACCGTTCTAGTGTTTCTGTTAGTTATCTGTCTGTAGTTCATCCTCAAGTATTGCTTGTGTGAATCGTTCAGTAGCTGATGAGTACGATAATGACTGAAGTCACACCAAGGATAATAGCTATAATGGAAAAAGATACCGTTTTAATAATCGTTCTAATTAGGGAATAGTGAAGTCCACACCACAGCTATAATGATAAAGACACGGAGAAATAATAGCGTTTCGGAACCATTTTTTGTAAAGTATTTCATAATAATTTAAATGTATATTATAATAACAATTATAAAACGGATAGTTCCGGTCCTTGATTCTGATTGGTTGAGCCGCGTTCAAAGCTGTTGTAAATTACTCTACAAACATACACCTTTGTTTACTTTGTCTGTTGCTTGGCAACCACTTTGTTGCAACCACAACTGTTTCTGAGGAACTACATTGTTTGGTGGAAGAATACTGTTTTTATTAATATCATTACACTTTATTTGCTTTGTTTTATTTTGTGAAGCCGTGGTTTACAGTGAATTTATAACAGCTAAGGGGGTTTTAGGCACTCCGCTTAGCGTCCTGCCTAACAACGCCCCTTAGCTGTTATAAATTCACTGTAAACCACGTCTTCTTGGGGCTTATTGCTTTATAATAATAATTCTCTTTTCAAACTTGGGAAGATGGTTGGCGCATGTTCCATTTTCAAATGCACGTTATAAGCAACTCAAACTCATAGCACTTGCATAGATGGAGTTCATGTGGAGCAGCATTTGCTGCAAACAAAGACACTGAAAACACTGTTATCATGAGTTATAAATTCATAAATCATGAATTATATAATTGCAACACAGTCTTTGTGTTAAACCATATCACGTTCTCAGGCATTGTTAGAATTAATAAAAAAGTTACTGGCCAACTGGTGAGAAACACTGTTTCATATACTCACCAACGCTGATTTTACTGACATTTGGTGCTTGGTGAGTGTTCGTTTTAGGCTCTGTTTATAGTTATTGTTTTTGTTGGTCCATGAGCACTCTATGGTGTTTTTCTGTGTACCTCATGCTGGGTGATATATGCTATATAATGTCACTCACAGGAGCGTGTATCCTGTCTTAACACTCCAGTCGATCTGCCAAACACGCAAACACACAGACTCTCACACTCAGTGTGTTCAAAACAAAGCACAGGTGTCTCAACCCAACTACAAATCAACCCAAGCCGTCCCGTCTTTGTTTACCCAAAGCCACCTAAACAATCAGCATCGGCGAATCACCAGCTTAAACAAACAAACAGGGTTAAAAACACAGTAACTCTGTAAAAGAAGAGGAAATGCCGGCTTCCAGACTGCACACGCGTGTGCTTCATGGGGGGTCTCTGCTTCAAAGATCTTCTGAGGGGGTTTGTTTCAAAGTTTCCGTGGGGTCATGGCTATTATGGGATGCCTTCCGTTCATTCTGTGTTAACGGGACAGTGGGGCTGTGGTCGTCAGCGCTTGTCTGTTTCTCCATCATGTCCAGCAGAAACCAGAGTTTAACAGTTTTCAGAGTTTCCTCATGCCAGAAAAGTAATATAGATTTATCTTCTCAGGAATGGCACTCAGAAATGCTGTGAGACCATTAGTAGAGCACCTCAAGCCTCAAAGCGCCTTCCCTAACCTACTTCATGAGTAAAAATTAATTAATGAGTACCAGAAACGGTATCATGCCTTTATCCTTATTATAAATAATCAAAACTTGATCTTGACCTTATAGGCTGCATCCCAAATGTGCATATTGTCCATCTCTAAATGGCATGCGAGATTAGGATTAGTGTGTCCCAAATCAAGGTGCATTGAAAATTGTCAATGGTGCCAGGATGGTATAATGTTTCTGGTAGATTTTTGACGTGTGCATATTTGCATGCTTTACTGGCCAATATCACCCACAACCCCTTGCTCTAGAATGGAGCATGATTTTGTGACCGCTCACTCAATGTGTGTAGAAAGCCTGCATGTGACAGCTGTGCAGACCTTGTGCATTCTGGCAGTCGGTTTATTAAAATATTCAGGTGCAGTCTCATTTCATGTTTTCTGCAGCGCTTCCCATAGGTGTGATTGGCTTGTAGCAGACTTCGCGAACCTTGCAGATGAACACCTCAAACTGTGATTCATCTGACCTTAATAATTCCAGTTCCTCTATAATATCTGTCAGTAGCAGATGTGGCATTTTCTTTGAAATTTAGAAGCCTAAGTCTTCTCTTCAGTGTTGCAGGTTGTACTTGGAATAGCCTTAGTTTCTCAAAACAGAGTATGGACTGAAGTGTTTGTAAAGAAATGCTGCTTTTGGTCATTTTTAAAATCGAAATTTGATTCACAAGTGTACAGGGACTTTAGTGCACTCAGTGCTTTAGCAGCTGAAAAAAAGACACTTTATTGCAGTCTCCAGTCTCCACACATCATTATGCAGCGCAACTATGTTCAACTGTGCTGATAATAAGAATGTTTCTCGAGTACCAATTCAGTACGTAAGAATGATTTCTTAAGGATTATGTAACGGTGTTACTGAAGTAATGAATGCTGTAAATGGGGCTTTTTGTCATCACAGATTACAGATTTGCCGTATCCAAAGTTTCTGCAGTTTAAAATTCATGTTTCAGAATTTGTAATTCCCCTTTTTACTCAAATTGTTATACTGGTAGTAATGCCCCATGTTTGGGGACAGTAAAAAGTGAATAGTTTAAGAATGCATTAAATTGATCAAGTGGCAGTAAAGACATTTTAAAGGGGTCATATGATGCGATTTCATTTTTTCCTTTCTCTTTAGAGTGTTACAAGCTCTTGGTGCATAAAGAAGATCTGTAAAGTTGCAAAGACTAAAGTCTCAAATCCAAAGAGATATTCTTTATAAAAGTTAAGAGTTAGCCACACCTACCTAAAACGGCTCGTTCGAACACGCCCCCACATATCTACCTCACTATGTGGGAAGATTTGCATAAAGCCCCCAAATGTTCACGCAAAGAAAGAAGACGTAACTTTTATTCTCGCTGTAGTATTGATGCCGCCATGTCGAGACGCACATTTCATTAACCCAAAAAACAAAAAAAATTTTTTTTTAAGCAGCATCAATTGACCCTTTTAAAAAAAAATTTTTTCATCAAAAAAAAAAAAAATTAATGGTTTCCACAAAAATATGAAGCAGCTCAACTGTTTTCAACATTAATAATAAGAATTTTTTCATGATCAGCAATTCAGCATGTTAGAATGATTTCTGAAGGATCATGTGACACTGAAGACTGCTCACAATATTCCTGTTTTTACTGTATTTTTTGATCAAATAAATGCAGTCATGGTGACTGAATCAAATTATTTAAAAAATCTAACTGACCCCAGATTGTAATGTAATTGATTGGTAATGTAATTTGTAATGATAAATAACTATTTTATAATAATATATTTTAAATTAAAATATAATAATATATTTTATATTTCTATATTTTAAGTTCAAATACCCAACTGTGTTGTGGTTCTTCTAAGCACATGCTGGCAACCACTAAATATTTCAGTTGTGACTTCACCTTGTTGCTCAGAGATTGAGTGATTTGACCCCGGACACAGAATCATCGCCCTTCATTACCGTGTGTGACCTGAGTTTAACACACATGATGTAAGGCTTCCTTAGTTGAATTGCTGGAAAGCAGACATATTCCCTTCAGAGAGCTACCCAGTGATTAATGAGTGAGCCACCTTTTCCTTTCTGCTAAATATAGCACAGAAATGACATCACTAATATACAAGGGGGTCTTCACAATGACACGCTAGTCAGGAAGTACCAGTGAGAGTGGGAAACGTGTAGGGTTTGTTTACACTTGTCGTTTGGTTCTCTTGGTTCTTTTGGTCCGGACCAAAAAATAAATTGATTAATTTATTCCCGGTTCACTTAGCATTCACACTGTCATTTTTAACACTGAACCTAAAAATACAAAACAAAAGGCACAAGGATACAGCCACAACCTGATTGGACAGCTTTTGTGACATATATTTTGCGACAGAACTTACCGAACATCCAAAACAATGCTGTGTGCTGGGCTAAATATGCTTGTTGGATGCGTGTACATATGGTGGGATTTTTTTACCAGCTTATAACTTAGATTTGCAAGTTATAGATTTGCAAAGAGCTTAGAGCTTATAAAATGTGTAAAAGAGTCGAAACAGTGCCAGAAATTGGCAGAATTGCTGCACACATGGAGATCCGCTTCAAAGAGACAGCGGTTCCGATGCCTGTACCAAACTAGCCATGAGCATGAACATGATGAGCTTATAGTTCATAAGATAAGAGAATGTTTTTAGTTTGTTTAGATGTCGTTGGTCCACGTTGCATTCATATTTCTGTCGAACTGCAGCAGTTTGTTTGGGAGTGGAAAAAGTGGGTCTTGGTCAGCTTGTTTGGTGCGCACCAAGGTTCAGATGGCAACGTTCACACTTATTCAAATGAACCACATTAACAGAGCAGTCGCACCGCAGTCCACAATCCAACCAAACCTGCCAAGTATGAACACACACCCATAAAAAAGTTTTCAGTTTTTCAAGTTTTTTCTGAGCATTTGAGCTCTGTAAATGATGCTGTGAATATGGTGTGGAGGTATGACCCCCATTGTACTCAAATATCCATCTCACAACACGCTCACCCCTCCATCCTGAAGTGTCGGTGCCCTGTTCTTTTTGTGACTGTATTAATTAGCTCTTCATTTGCTCTGCAGGCTGTTATGAGCTAATGGCTCTCCATTAGTGTCTGTATGGAGAGCAGGGGGCGGATGCACTTGGCATACTGCTGCTGCTGTGAGAGGGAGAGAGAGGTTGTGTGTGTTTGCGTTGGTAATCATTAAATTGACAAAACTGCTTTTCATTCACTGAGCAGTGCGGAGGGCCAGGCTTCACTCGTCTGTTAATTGAATTAGACTGGCCACTGACAGAGCCTTTCATCTGTCTGAGACACACAAAGCAAAATAAACATTAGCTGCCCAGCATGTGACTGGATACAGATTTGTGCTGCCATCTAAAGGTGAAGATGGGAAGCTATGGAGAAAATCATGAGGTTTCACACGAGTAAAATGCACTCTCCAACCATTTCTTAGCTATTTGTTGTGAGCTGTGACATAAAAATGGAGTCTTCAAAAAAAGAACTGGGAACTGGTGAAACATCTGCTATAATATAATTAAATATTGGCCATACCATTCAGAAGTTTGTGGTCAGTAAGATTTTATTATTATTATTTAATTTTTTTTTTTATTTAATACTTTCAGCAAAGACACATCAAATGAATCGAATATGCCAGACAAAAATCTTAAATGGACCAAAAAAAAAAATAATTAAATAGAAATTTTGAAACATTTATTCATGAAAAAATCCTGACAAAAATCTATCAAATTATTATACATTTTCAACATAGGTAATGAAAAGAAATGTTGAGTAGCACATCAGTGTATTAGAATGATTTCTGAAGGATCATGTGACACCGATGACTGGAGTAATGATGCGGAAACTTCAGCTTTGCATCAAATCAATAAATGACATTTTACATTATATTTACATGGATAATAGTTGTTTTAAACTGTAATAATATTTCACAATATTACTGTTTTTACTCTAGTTTGATAAAATAAATTCCGCCTTGGTGAACAGAAGAGACCTTGTTCAAACCTCTAGTGTGTGTTTTTTGCAAAACTGCATTCAGAATACACGACTAATTTTGAATGGCCATCAGTGAAAAGATGCAGTTACAGCATCTAACATCAGGGCCTAATGGAGTCATTATAAGCAAATAAACCATCACACTTTATCTTTTACATACTACACACAAAAATGACACGAACTGGTGAAAATCAGCAGATCCAAACAGAAGGATGTCTGATGAGTGTGTCTGGAAACAAAGTCATGTTTATAAAACACTCAGATGTTACAACGAGCACTTCAGAAGATGAATTACTCATGTGGGTTTACCAAAATGTATGAGATTTAAAAAATTAGTCCAAGGCAGTTAAGGCAAGAAAATGAAATGTACATGGGCACAAAGCATGGGTACGTTCTGCAGCATTTCCAAGTATCTGAAAGCCCTGCAAGCAAGTAATTTTCCATAATTTTCTTGGATGTGCAATCTTCTGTGATATTATGGGCTATTATTGAATTATCATTGATCTTGGTCTGAATAAGATATAATGTGCACTAGACTTTATATTGTTAAAAAAAAAAAAGAATCTAAAAAAAAATTGGGGGAAATGTGTTTGTGTGTGGGTTTGATGTTCTTTTGGGTCTTTCTTTTGGAGTGTCTCATTAATTGTTTGTTTTTTTGTATCATAGTATTCTGTATTAATTGAGGTATCTGTGTAACCGTTTCTCTGTGTTTCATGTGTTCAGTTTAAGTTGCGTGTGCTGAGTAAACTGGCAGCATATCTCAGTAAGCACATGCCAGAGAAGATTCCAGAAGACACCAGTAGTATCCTCCGCTCTCCCATGCCAGGATCTGTGGTGGCTGTGTCCGTTAAACCAGGAGATAATGTAAGTCACTTACTGGAAAATCAGTAGAACTATATTTCTCCCCATTTCCCTGTTTAACAAATGGATTCACATTTAATTTGGATTGTTCAAAGGGTGAAATATTAAGGAAGCTGACCCCTAAATATTTCACACAAAAACAGTGAGATATTAGTCAAATGCCAGTCACTTAGAAAAACGATGTGAAAGAATATATTGATATTAGCAATAAATGTAGTAAGTACACTTTATCTTGTGTTAGTTCATAGAGTTCACCAAGAAATGAAAATGCCGTCATCATTTACTCACCATTATCTTCATGCAGCAAAAAAGTACATGTGGCTTGTGTATGTCTTTACTGTATTTTTTGATCAAATAAATGCAGCCTTGGTGAGCATGGAGAATCAAAGGATTTAAAAAAAATCTAACTAACCCCAAATTATAATGTTGTTAATTGGTCATATAATTTGTACAGATAATGGAAAAACAGTCGAAGTAATTCCAGTCTTTGTTTTTATACATTTTAAATTCAAGTGCCCAACTATGTTGTGGTACTTCTCCTAAGCACATGCTGGCAGCCACTAAATATTTCAGTTGTGACTTCACCTTGTTGCTCAGAGATTGAGTGATTTGACCCCGGACACAGAATCATCGCCCTTCATTACCGTGTGTGACCTGAGTTTAACACACATGATGTAAGGCTTCCTTAGTTGAATTGCTGGAAAGCAGACATATTCCCTTCAGAGAGCTACCCAGTGATTAATGAGTGAGCCACCTTTTCCTTTCTGCTAAATATAGCACAGAAATGACATCACTAATATACAAGGGGGTCTTCACAATGACACGCTAGTCAGGAAGTACCAGTGAGAGTGGGAAACGTGTAGGGTTTGTTTACACTTGTCGTTTGGTTCTCTTGGTTCTTTTGGTCCGGACCAAAAAATAAATTGATTAATTTATTCCCGGTTCACTTAGCATTCACACTGTCATTTTTAACACTGAACCTAAAAATACAAAACAAAAGGCACAAGGATACAGCCACAACCTGATTGGACAGCTTTTGTGACATATATTTTGCGACAGAACTTACCGAACATCCAAAACAATGCTGTGTGCTGGGCTAAATATGCTTGTTGGATGCGTGTACATATGGTGGGATTTTTTTACCAGCTTATAACTTAGATTTGCAAGTTATAGATTTGCAAAGAGCTTAGAGCTTATAAAATGTGTAAAAGAGTCGAAACAGTGCCAGAAATTGGCAGAATTGCTGCACACATGGAGATCCGCTTCAAAGAGACAGCGGTTCCGATGCCTGTACCAAACTAGCCATGAGCATGAACATGATGAGCTTATAGTTCATAAGATAAGAGAATGTTTTTAGTTTGTTTAGATGTCGTTGGTCCACGTTGCATTCATATTTCTGTCGAACTGCAGCAGTTTGTTTGGGAGTGGAAAAAGTGGGTCTTGGTCAGCTTGTTTGGTGCGCACCAAGGTTCAGATGGCAACGTTCACACTTATTCAAATGAACCACATTAACAGAGCAGTCGCACCGCAGTCCACAATCCAACCAAACCTGCCAAGTATGAACACACACCCATAAAAAAGTTTTCAGTTTTTCAAGTTTTTTCTGAGCATTTGAGCTCTGTAAATGATGCTGTGAATATGGTGTGGAGGTATGACCCCCATTGTACTCAAATATCCATCTCACAACACGCTCACCCCTCCATCCTGAAGTGTCGGTGCCCTGTTCTTTTTGTGACTGTATTAATTAGCTCTTCATTTGCTCTGCAGGCTGTTATGAGCTAATGGCTCTCCATTAGTGTCTGTATGGAGAGCAGGGGGCGGATGCACTTGGCATACTGCTGCTGCTGTGAGAGGGAGAGAGAGGTTGTGTGTGTTTGCGTTGGTAATCATTAAATTGACAAAACTGCTTTTCATTCACTGAGCAGTGCGGAGGGCCAGGCTTCACTCGTCTGTTAATTGAATTAGACTGGCCACTGACAGAGCCTTTCATCTGTCTGAGACACACAAAGCAAAATAAACATTAGCTGCCCAGCATGTGACTGGATACAGATTTGTGCTGCCATCTAAAGGTGAAGATGGGAAGCTATGGAGAAAATCATGAGGTTTCACACGAGTAAAATGCACTCTCCAACCATTTCTTAGCTATTTGTTGTGAGCTGTGACATAAAAATGGAGTCTTCAAAAAAAGAACTGGGAACTGGTGAAACATCTGCTATAATATAATTAAATATTGGCCATACCATTCAGAAGTTTGTGGTCAGTAAGATTTTATTATTATTATTTAATTTTTTTTTTTATTTAATACTTTCAGCAAAGACACATCAAATGAATCGAATATGCCAGACAAAAATCTTAAATGGACCAAAAAAAAAAATAATTAAATAGAAATTTTGAAACATTTATTCATGAAAAAATCCTGACAAAAATCTATCAAATTATTATACATTTTCAACATAGGTAATGAAAAGAAATGTTGAGTAGCACATCAGTGTATTAGAATGATTTCTGAAGGATCATGTGACACCGATGACTGGAGTAATGATGCGGAAACTTCAGCTTTGCATCAAATCAATAAATGACATTTTACATTATATTTACATGGATAATAGTTGTTTTAAACTGTAATAATATTTCACAATATTACTGTTTTTACTCTAGTTTGATAAAATAAATTCCGCCTTGGTGAACAGAAGAGACCTTGTTCAAACCTCTAGTGTGTGTTTTTTGCAAAACTGCATTCAGAATACACGACTAATTTTGAATGGCCATCAGTGAAAAGATGCAGTTACAGCATCTAACATCAGGGCCTAATGGAGTCATTATAAGCAAATAAACCATCACACTTTATCTTTTACATACTACACACAAAAATGACACGAACTGGTGAAAATCAGCAGATCCAAACAGAAGGATGTCTGATGAGTGTGTCTGGAAACAAAGTCATGTTTATAAAACACTCAGATGTTACAACGAGCACTTCAGAAGATGAATTACTCATGTGGGTTTACCAAAATGTATGAGATTTAAAAAATTAGTCCAAGGCAGTTAAGGCAAGAAAATGAAATGTACATGGGCACAAAGCATGGGTACGTTCTGCAGCATTTCCAAGTATCTGAAAGCCCTGCAAGCAAGTAATTTTCCATAATTTTCTTGGATGTGCAATCTTCTGTGATATTATGGGCTATTATTGAATTATCATTGATCTTGGTCTGAATAAGATATAATGTGCACTAGACTTTATATTGTTAAAAAAAAAAAAGAATCTAAAAAAAAATTGGGGGAAATGTGTTTGTGTGTGGGTTTGATGTTCTTTTGGGTCTTTCTTTTGGAGTGTCTCATTAATTGTTTGTTTTTTTGTATCATAGTATTCTGTATTAATTGAGGTATCTGTGTAACCGTTTCTCTGTGTTTCATGTGTTCAGTTTAAGTTGCGTGTGCTGAGTAAACTGGCAGCATATCTCAGGAAGCACATGCCAGAGAAGATTCCAGAAGACACCAGTAGTATCCTCCGCTCTCCCATGCCAGGATCTGTGGTGGCTGTGTCCGTTAAACCAGGAGATAATGTAAGTCACTTACTGGAAAATCAGTAGAACTATATTTCTCCCCATTTCCCTGTTTAACAAATGGATTCACATTTAATTTGGATTGTTCAAAGGGTGAAATATTAAGGAAGCTGACCCCTAAATATTTCACACAAAAACAGTGAGATATTAGTCAAATGCCAGTCACTTAGAAAAACGATGTGAAAGAATATATTGATATTAGCAATAAATGTAGTAAGTACACTTTATCTTGTGTTAGTTCATAGAGTTCACCAAGAAATGAAAATGCCGTCATCATTTACTCACCATTATCTTCATGCAGCAAAAAAGTACATGTGGCTTGTGTATCGTTTTCCTAGTTCTCAGATCAATTTTGCTTAAAAAAATAATAATAATAATAAAAAAGAAGCCTAATATTGGAGCAGTTGAACAGTAAAAATGCCCCTTTTACATTGGTGAAAATTTCCGCCACCCACTGGACTGGAGTATGAAGCACTAGATGGCACACAAAAAACTTAAACACATAGGGATGAATAGCAAAAGTTTGGAGTTTCCAGTGAAATCTGCCTGGACAATTCTAAAATGTAAATAAGTATAGGTTTACAGTTGTGATCCATGATAAGGCAAAAACACAATTTGAAAGGTGGATTTATGATGTACTTGCTCATTAGGGCCTTTCGCACCGCTTTAGTTCCAGAACTAAATGTACAGTACTAAAGTACTGGGACGATTTTGCGCGAACTATTTCCCAGTACCATTTAAAGGGTTGCATTCGCACCGAGAGTGTGTACTAAGAAGTGACGTAAGCCGGTCGACAGCAACGTCATTTGTGTGCGGCATTCAACAACAGAAACAAAGAAGAACAACATTAACAACAGGAGGATGGAGGACGCTGTGATCGAAGCTGTGTTTTTGTTGTGTCTCGCGGGTTTCACAATAATGGACATGGAAAGTCGACGTATACGTAAAGCGATTGAAAGAACGGAAAGGAGGACTAAGAATCTCCAACGACAACTGGCAGTGCTACATTTGCTACAAGTGACTGCACTTGAGCGTCCGTCCATCTATCGCTGTTCTCCATACCTGCGAAATAAGTTGACACAATGTTTACAGTATGTTTACACGGCGTTTTAAATCATGGCGGGTGAGGGCGTTTTCATACGCGTTTGGCCAATCAATGTCTACTTACGTCACGATTAGTACCAGTTGTGCCGGTTAGACCCTGCTCCGGAGTAGGAGCTAATTTGGTTCTCGAAAAAGGCAGTCCGGTACTAAAATCGCACCCAGTTCCGGCGGTGCGAAAACGCCAAAAAGTGGGTAGTTCCACAATTAGTTCTGGTACTATGAAAAGGTTCCCACGGTGCGAAAGGCCCTACTGACGTAAGGGTCTCACTTGGGAGCCCCAATCACCTCTGAGCATTACAAGAAATGGCCAATGACAATTGGCGAGTGGAATTTGCATCCCAAGCCACTATTCATACATACAAGTTGGCAGCATGCATCTACTCATTCAGGTTTGTGCTGAGGAGCCAAGAAGCATCCCGGCATTCAGCGCAGTTCACGGTTGTGGCATGAGAGATGTAACATCTCCGTTCCCTCCTTCAGGGAACGAGGGTTACATACGTAATCGAGACGTTCCCTATCAGTCAGTCATTATCGACGTTACGTCGACACTGAAGTTAGGGGTCCTGATGGAAAGCGCCACAACCAGAACTGTGTTACGAAAATTGAAGGTGCAGGTGCTGACAAGCAAGCGTGTTAGAACAGATGGACCTCAATCCATAACCTACCTAATGCCTTATAAGCCAGATCATTTATCAAATACACGGACATACCAGGGAAGCCGAAAAAAAATTTGTTCCGACACTCTCACAATTCTAGATTTCAGCAACCGTTTGGATGCAGAGACACATCTGAATAGGAATGTGAACACTAAGACTGGTTACAGCACTGTCTTGACCCGAGTTCGGGAGAACACAACAGGAACTGACAGTCAACAAATTGTCTAGGGAAGGCACAGGTTTACCAAAGGAAACCATATCATGGAAAAAAAACATACAGGATTACCAAGGGAATCTCATGTATGGAACCAAGTCCAGTAAAAGGGGGTGACTAATGGCATACAACCCAAATACTGGATGTGACAACAGACTCCTCCGCTGAATGCCACAGGGTGTTGGAGGAATCGACCAGGATTCACCAGATGGGAATGTACTGGAAGAAGATAAGCACACGTATCCTAACCAGAGGAATGGCACCGCAAGCAAGACACAGAGGCAGGCCTCCCACAAATTACCGGTACTAAAATCGCTCCCAGTTCCGGCGGTGCGAAAACGCCAAAAAGTGGGTAGTTCCACAATTAGTTCTGGTACTATGAAAAGTTTCCTGCGGAACTGAAAAGGCCCTAAAATTTTAAAAAATTGTTCCCCCAGAAATGGAAATTTACTGAAAATGCTCTCACCCTCAGACCATCCAAGATGTCGTTTGTTTCTTCATGGGAACAGATTTGGAGAAATTTAGCATTTTATCACTTGCTCACCAATGGATCCTCTGCAGTGAATGGGTGCCGTCAGAATGAGAGTCCAAACAGCTGATAAAAACATCACAATAATCCACATGACTCCGGTCCATCAAATTAACACCCTATGAAGTGAAAAGCTGTGTGCTTATAAGTAACAAACTCAAAAGTAATTTTGACCAAAACCAATTACATGGTGTAGCTTTAAGTACTGGGTTGTTTTTCAAGCTTCCAACCAGGTGTTCATTAATTGATCTCCTTTTGTGTTCCACAGAACAAAGAAAGTCATACAGGTTTAAAATGCCGAGTAAATGAGGACGGAATTTCTGTTTCGAATGAACTATGGCTTTAAATAACGTGATTTGCATTAGGATGACATCATCTGTAAAGCTGACTGCACTTCAGTATGACAAAATGTCTGTGTGTGTGTTTTTGTGTGTGTGCGGGTGTTGCTGTCAACTTGAATTGAATGTGTCCTGACTCAGTTTGTTAATGACTTGTATGTAATGCACAGACCGACTGACTCCGGCTAATACATCTGAGCCCTTCCAGTAAAACATCTCATTCACTCAGCAGCGTCACACACACACACACAAGAGCACTGCAATGAAGAGCTCTCACACTGATTAGTCACCACACACACACACAGCAGTGATGTTCACACCACCTGATTTCGGCACTTCTGTATAGATAAGACAGAAATGAATCTTTGTGGATGGAGGGAAATAGTAATTCCTCAGTGCTTGCTTATTTCCATAATCCATTTCCCTAATGGAGAGTTTGATAGATATAGACAGAGGTTTCTTTTATTGATTTTGCTCTCACGTTACAGTGAGCTTTTTTTTTTGCGTGTTAACTGTTATGACTCTTCTAATGCATGAGCCTTTATGAAATGATATTATAATATTCCCCTGCTCTTTGTGCTGAGGTTTTGTGTACTAGACCTGCAGAAGTCTATGACATTATTAAATATGTGGCGGGAAGATATTCTGTGAGTCATGTGTTTTAAGAAGTGATTATAAAGTGCTCATTGTGGAATAGCTGTTGTGGTTTATTGTTCTTTGGCATTCTGAAGGTTGCAGAGGGACAGGAGATTTGTGTGATTGAAGCCATGAAGATGCAGAACAGCATGACCGCAGCAAAGACTGCCAAGGTGAGCTCACACACACATACATAAGTTGATACATAATCCTCCTCACTACTTTGTGCATCATAAATCGATATGACATAAAGAACACACTCTTCCACATAGCTACATTACAGTACCTAACACCATGAGGGAGGGAGAGAGAGAGAGAGAGAGCGAGGGGCCGCGGCCCATTATCCACACTGACCACTATCCACACTATTCTGACCAGACCACTTAGCTACTGTAAAAAGTCTCTCCCTCCTTGTAAGACGGCTAAAACCAGATTATGGTTATGGTGTTTATGGCTCCTTTGATGGATGGCTGGATATTTTATTGTACTTAAAGGGTTAGTTTACCCAAAAATGATTCTGTCATTAATTACTCACCCTCATGTCGTTTCAAACCCGTAAGACCTTCGTTCATCTTCGGAACACAAATTAAGATATTTTTGATGGAATCTGAGAGCTGTCTGATCCTGCATAGACAGCAACGCAACTGACAAGTTCCCAAGTCCAGAAACGTAGCAAGGAGATCTGTAAAATAATACATGTGACATCAGTGTTTCATCCGTAATTATACGAAGCTACGAGAATACTTTTTGTGCGCAAAAGAAAAAAAAATAAAGACTTTATTCAACAATTTGTCTCCTCTGCATCACCTTGTAGCGCCATTTTGGAGAATATCAGCTGGACGTAAACAGCGTATGCTGTTCTGTGTCAGCTGCGTCACACGGATACGCTGTTT